TGCCGCCTTCACGGGCAGGAAGTAACTCGCCCTTCGCCATCGAACCGATGCGAAGGACGTGCTCGTGACATGGTGACATGGGACGAGGACGAGCTGCAGGAAAGTCACGAGCCGAACCGACTGCCAAGAGGGCCAAGCGAGAAGGGCTGGCCAATCCTCGGCAAGATGCCGACTCGATCTGCAACTTCGCAGCCGGAGGATGGACTGGTCGAGAATTCTTAAATGCAGAAGATGCGGTTGACCTCAAGGGGATCTTCGGTCACTGCATCGTAGCGGCTGGCAGCCGGATTTGGTGTCTTGGTGGATGTCGAGAGACAAGGCCGATATCAAGAAAGATGTCCGTCCTGGAGCTTCAGCTCGAAAGCAAGACCTGGATGAATCGATCGAAGTTGCTTCCTGAAGATTCCGTGCCATGCTGCAGATGGGGGCATGCAAGCTGCTTGGTCCCCAGCAGGCCCGCGCCCCGGCCGGCGGAGCAATTTGTTTGGCTGGCCGGTGGCTTCAACAGCCACTGCAACCTGAAAGATGTTTGGCGTTTCTGCCCAACTGACGGAAGATTCGCTAGAGTAGCATCGGAAGTGCGCAGCCTTCCCTACCGTGCGGCCTATCATTCCATGGTGTGTGACGACGTAGCGAAGCGGCTCTTGGTGTTCGGTGGCCAGTGCTGTGTGGGAGGACCGTACCAGTTCTTCGACAGTGTCCTGTCTCAGTCGTGGTTAGGTTAGATGGCTGTTTCTGTTTTACAGTCGTTGTGATACGAGCTCTAGAAGTCGGTTTGGTCACCGAGGCGTTGTCATGCACCAGCTATGCCGCCCCATGTCTGGCTGGCAGGCACGAAATAGTAATGTGCGCGGGAACAGAAAGTGCTCTCCTGTTCAAGGCCCATGCTTTACTGGTAGCGGCAAGCACAGCCCCTGAGTTGGAATGTTGAACCCTGGGACATGTAATGTTTTGATGATGGACCTTCTGTCGAGTCCGAGAACAAATGGCAAGTCTCCGTCCAAGGGCTCGGTGAGATTCTCTTAAGGTTTGTCTGCACTCCAGCCCACGTCGTGGTCAGATTGTGAAGGTGTGTGCAAAGCTTGAAACTTCAGGTTCAAGTTGGAGGTTGGATTTTTGTGGAACCGAGAGGCTGCAAGATGCTGCAAGGTTAAGGGTTGCGTGAGTGGTTGTGGTCTGGCTTCAGGAGTGGGCTTCTATCCATATTAGTTCTTCAGACAAGGGTTAGGCCTTCAATCGGCCTGAACCGGAAACCCTGCGATCCCTGCTAATTCACACTTCAAGGTCAGCAGTCTCAGTGTCCTATGCAGGTAGTTCGGGTTGAAGGGCCCCGCCCGGCAGCACGAGCTCAGCACGCGGCAGTTCCAGCCACAGACGACTCGCAGACTTTCTGCCAGCATGCTGCGCTGCAGAGCCGTGCCGAAACTGAGGCGATGACATCGTCTGGGCTCATGGTCATTTATGGCGGCGGAAATGCGACGCGTACCTTTCGAGACGTGAACTGACTTAGATCAGGTTCTAAAGCGCCGGATGGACCCTCAGGGTGGGGCTGAAATCATTTCGAAGCCAGGTCTGGACATTGCATCTCAGCAGCTCGGCTTGCTGGTCCGAGGCTGGCACGAGGGCACGAACCTCCGAGGGCCCAGACTTGTCATGCCAGGTCAAGATCTTCGGCCGCATTCGGCCCTGGATATCGCTACAATTAAAGCACCAAGACTTTAATGTCGCGCCTGGCTGGTTTGTTCTTTCTGCCATGCCAGTTGCATCTTCTTCTACATGCATGACATGTTTGCAAGATGTGTAAGCCGCAGCCACCTCACAGCCAGCAGTGTCTCAACCATGCGAAGTGCATCCTGAACGAGAGAACTTGGCATGGTTTAGAAGATCGAGCGTCAAGTCTCGGGCTGCCCTTATCAGCTGTTGCCTGCAATGCAGCAGCTACCCCGCCAGCCTCCAGAATCCTTTGCTTCCGTGGCTTGCCCTGCACCGTACATGGATGACACACTCTCTACTGGGAGGGAGCAGGAGCGGATCTGACAGGTGGTGGTCCAACTGGTAGCTGCCCACCGCCGAGAACTGCAGGCCCAATCTACTCAACTCCGGGCAAATCGTCCCCCCATGTGCGAGAGCAGACCTTGAAAGATCTAGCCAACATTTTGCACGCGGCAGTTTGGAAGGCGGTCAGGGAGCGTTTCGACGCGAAAGTTGGCCCTGCGCGAACTCTGCGTGAGGCACTGTCGGGCGGGGCGGCCCCAGTCAGCGAAGTGACAGCGATCTGCACTGAGGAATCTGGGCTGCAGAGTTGCGGCGAAGTGGCAGAAGAACTGGCACCTGATGAGATGAATCTGTTCGCAGCCATGGGGCAGAAGCTCGGCAGTACGAAGACAGCCAGAAACGGCAGATATCAAATATCAGTGATGTTTCTCGGGCAACAGGAGCTCCGCATCTTGCTGACTATAGATGAGCTGTGCAAAGGTGTTCACCTGCTGCCCTGGCCCAGTCTCCATCACCGAGAACCGAGTCCTGGGGCCGCTGCCCTTGCTCCACGTATTCGAAAGCGGCGTGTCTCTAGTCATCAGCTTATTTCTGACCGGAGCAAGGACCCCGATCTGAAGCCCCGGCGCTTCATCTTCCAGCTTGGGGCGATTCGGTCAAGGAGGTGGCGGCGCCTGAGAGCACAAGACCAACAGAGGAGGAAGATGCTCCCCAGACGCAAGAGACATGACCGCACTTTCGCCAAGAACCAAAATCCTGATTCATCCTAATTCGATACACCATGCTGTCATCGGTCTGAGGGTTTCGGCTCGATTCCACAGTGGCCAAGAATCTTGCTTCGCTCTACTGCGGTTTGCGTTTTTCCATGCATCATGTTTCAGGCATGCTATTTCATCCCTCCTGACGATTTCTCTGGGGGCATGTGTGTCGGTGGGCAATTTTGGGGGAACCGACGGGACCCGTTGACGTGGTGTCGCCACGAGAAGTGATGGCTACGTCGTGTCGCGTGTATTGTAGCAAAGCAGCCTCTCAGGCTCGAGCTGAACAGCCTTAGCATGTTGAGAGCATAAGTGCGACATGCCCCGACGAGTCTGAACATGCAGTGGCCGAGGTGTTGCCTGCAGCACACCTGCAACCTGTTGATGGGCTTCTCGTCTGCGTTTTCACTTGTCAAGTTTTGCATAAGTAATCTGGATCCACAGCCTCGTGAAGGAATAGGTGTGCCTGCTTGCAGGCTTGTGCTGTTGGTTGTTCGTCTGACAATACCGGAAACGTCTCTTACTGAGGTCTGCGTGCGGGAAGGTAGTCAGCTCATCAGAGCGGCAGGACTCGAGTCTAGAGACCCGAGCCAGTGACCGTGCTTGTAGCTTCTGCAAAGCTGTGCCAGGAGGACCGGCTGGCAAGAATGAAGGAGGCTCTAGCATTGCCCAGCAATCCTCTTTGCCACCGCTATCCTGCAGCCGCTGTAGCCGCGCCTTGGCCATTGCAGGTTCTCGCTCAGCATCAAGTAAACCAGGCGGCCGGTGCCGGAAGGAGCTTCTCGTTTACAGATGCAGCACAGCCCAACGTGTTCGTCGTTCGTCCTGCATCAAACCGGTCCGAGCGACAGGAAGCGGCGGTTTGCGTTGACCCAGTCCTTCAAGGTGGATTGCTCGGATGGCGTAAGTGTGAAGTGCATCGTGCAGCCCAGGGCTTAGCTCAGCTCGGGTTTTGCTGCGTAAGGAAACTACTTCCCTCCCCTCCCCTTGAATGAAGCGACATCAACGAGCTCAGGCATCCGATGTTTGACACGGTCGCTGCAGAGACTTGTCTGTCATGGTTGGGTAGAGCGTGTAAGCACAGTGGGTTCCTGCCGGATTGGTTTCGATGCTGAGGTCATGATCATTGTGAACTCTATTCTGATGGGATGGGAGACGGAGGCATTGACAACCAATATTTCGACTCCCGGATTTGATGTTTGTCCAATCTCGCCAAGCCTTGACTCGTTTGCACATGCTTGCACATTGGCACTTGAAAATCATTTGTGGGCGTGAGCTGACCAAAATGCTGGGTCTGGGTAATTGCTGAGCACAAAGGATGCCGGAATCGCTTGAAATCATGATGATTCTCTGTATCCTGGCTCCTCCAATTTGTTCACCAGGAACTGCCGCTCCATCTTGAAAGCCTTTGCCAAGCCATGCAGCCGAGGCAATGTTTATTTTTGCTTGGTCGTGGTCCAAGCTTCCTGCCGCTGCTGGCTGCATGTGCTCTTCTGCAGTGTGCTGGTAGCTCTGTTTAGAGTCTGGAGGAAATTCTGATGCGCCTCGCCGGACTACGAGCCGGTTTCTTTGTGGAAGAAAGCAGGATGCATACTCGACAGTTGACAGCTTGACTTGACACTTGAGCCTTAGATCAAACGCGATTTGTGGCGAGGAATTGGAACTTATTTGATCTGGGCCTTGTCTTACTGTGTCCCGTCGAACATTACATGTGCCTGAACGCTGGATGCACTCTGGCACCCGGATTTTCTGAAGCATGCAATTTCTGATGGGCAACCTCGAGGTCCCTGGTAGATACCTTTATATTATATCAGCAGGATGGGCTCAGCGCCACTAATGCTGCTTGCTCCGAATTCATGCCAGACGGTGCTCGTTGATTTTCAGAGCAGGGCACCCGCAGTGAAGCGCTGAGGTTGTGGCAGGAGCACCTCGGTGCGGAGTGGCATCTGATGGCACAGCTTTAAGTGTTTAGACCTCCTATGTGGCAGTCGCTATGATTCAGCATGTGCCTTCGTGTGTGAAGGACTAAGTAGGAGCAAGGGTGGACTTGAAGCACTTGACATCCGAGTATGCCTGGATGGTCTGCTGTTGTGTGCATCCTGTTTTTTTAAGGTGAAGACGCTGAAGATGCTCAGAATAATACGGGTTTTTCGAGTCTTCCGCTTCTCATCCGCTCTTTCGCGAGTCGCTCTTATGAGACCTGGCTGCCAAAGCCCCGGTGGTGCACACAGGTGCGCGATATCAAGCCAGCGACATGGTTTTTGAAGCGCATCGTGCATGAGGATCGTGGACTCGATGAAATCACTTCTTTGGGCGCTGATTATGTTGGTTCTTGGGCAGAATATCGCACCTCTTGGCCTTGCGTGGCCGCAATGGCTCCACCAGATACCAGCAGTAATGAGTTGCCGATCATTGCTCCAAGGCGATCGTCGTGTACGTTTTCGCAATCAGTCTGACGACCAATGCAGCAGATTGGATAAAGCTGGAGAGCCTCGGTAGCATTTGCTGGGAATGTCGAACAATCTCGCGAAGTTCTCTTTGCAGCCTCAGGGTGAACACTGCCAATCCCAACTGGCTCGAGCAGCATCCTTGGCTTGCTGTTAGGCTTCTGCATTGACAGAGTCCTGAGGAGTTCAGTACACTCGTGCAAGGTTGGTGCAGACGAGCTCAGACCCCACCATGCAAATCATGTTGAGGCGCTTGAATTATGGGCTGTGTTCGTAGCCAGAAGCCATCCCAATGCCTCCCCGCCCGGCTTTTGCACCGATGCGAGGAGGTTTGGGTCGCTGTCGAAAACTGTTCGAGACTCAGCCGACAGCAAGCCCTCGTTCAATCTGCAGCTGTTAGACCCGAGGCCTACACCCTGGTTCAGGCAATGCTCGGTGGTTTCAACTGGGGTGAGGTTTCTGATGTCCTCATGGATGTCGATGTGAACCATGGCTTTCACGATAGAGCTCTGCAGTGTAAAGGGTGTGTGGGCGGCATTTGCCTTGCGCGGTTTCGTGTTGCGACAGCAGAGCCAAGGATCTCGCCTGCTTTGCTGCTTCTTTATGTTGCCTTCACGATGCTTGCCGCGACTGGGCTTGCGATTCTCTTAATGTGTTTGAGAATGCCATGAGAGGTCGGCTGTGTTGCTGCTCTGCTGTCGCCCCCAGAAGCGAGAAAGTGTCTGATCAATACCGTGCAGAATTGCGAGTTTCGCAAGGTCCTCAATGTGATTACAGGCACGCCTGCTGCACCAAGAGCAAGCTGTTAGCTAGGCCAGCAGTCCAGCCTGGGCATTTGAGCTCAGGCGCTTTCGTGGACAACGCCCTCAACCTGGCAAGCCAGCAGCGTGACTTCCAGATCGAGAAAGAAATAGAATCCAAGGCATCGGGGGGCAGCCTGGAGGGAGTGGGACCGAGAAGAGCTGCCTAATGCCAGGAGCAGTATGCGCGCCAAATTCGAGCGCTGTTTCAGATGCTTGGCCAGGCATTCCAGCATTGTGAGGATTCTGAAGGTTTGCAGCTTTCTACTTCCGGTTGGGGAAAGGGGCAGCAACACAGCACCCTGGAACAGGGATTTCGCAAACGAGTGCTACAATTTCAAAGTGAGAAAACACAAGCAAGAACTCGCAAGGATGGACGCTCGCTTGAGTGTCTTAAGCCAAAGAGACAGACCTTGTGTGACAAACATTGGTGAATGCATTTTCTTGGGACAGAAGGACAAAGCAAGAAGCCTGATGATGGCGCGGCAGAGAGAGCGAGAGAGAGAGAGAGAGGCAGCAACTCCTGCCTTCTGCCCCTGCACCACACCCCCAAAACAGGGGGAACGCCTGGAGAAGGGGAACTCAAGACGACCTTGTACACTTATCACTCCTAGGTACTGTTGCTATGGGGGCTGCATCTTACAGTGAGCAGTTTTCCATGAACCTGCCGCAGTGCACGAGACCCGCAGTCCCGACAAGCAAGCCCCACAGAGACGTCATAACAGGGAGGTGTGGTAGCCACAGGGGCCCGGAGACGAGACCGGGATGCGGGGGTTCTAGTGTGAAGGGTGGGACTTGCTGCAGGAGAACACTGGGGCACACTACGTAGTTCAGTGCAGCGGTCAAGAAAACCCCAAAGCCCTCCAGTCACTAGCACAGAGTAAGGGCTGGGCGGGCCGAAGGCCTGAGGGTCGCTGACGACCCCTACGCCTGCAGAAAGAAAGAGAAAGAGAAACAGGCCTACGCGGCCAAAGCCCGCCTCAGAGCCCGCTTCAGACGCCTGAGCCCCTTCCTGGCGGGGGAAGTGCGCCTACAGGTGGACCAAGCGTTGCAGGAGCTGGTCACCTGGACTACTCCGCACTGGGGGGAAGAAGCGGAGCTGGTGGGGGAGAACGACCTGAACACCCTCCACATGGAACGCCCCGACTCCTTCGGCTTTGCCAACGGGGGAGAAGAACTGGTGATGGGGCGGCCAGTCCTTCTTCGGGGCCTACACGACCCGCCGCAAGTCCCACTGACAGACCGACACCTAAGTGTGGGGAGCGACGGAGAAACTTTACAAACCCAAGCTCCCTGGATCAGGACGACTGACATGTGCCTGCAGTGTGAGTTATGCTATAGTTGTAGGTACCACCTGGCAGTCGGGGAGTTAGGGACAGCAACCTTCGCAAGAGCCGGGCACAAACAGTAGGGGGGCCGCTGGGTGTTGCATATCGGTGTTGCTTTGTGTCAGAGCCCGAGCCTGAGCGAAGAGCGAGAGTGTGGCGGCGCAAAGCACGCCAGGTTCAGGGTGGGGGTGGGAAGGCGAGGCATGGTCGCGCGAGGTTGTGTTCGGGATCAGCCGGGGAGGCAGGTCAGGTGGGGGTTGTACAGAGGCAGCGAAAGCTGCAATTCGAAAAGTCGGACGGGTGGAGCTTCGCCGACAGGGGAGTGGCAGTACAAGTGACAATTAGTCCTGTTGGGAGTGTTACTCTTCCTACTTGTGTTGTCGTGAGAATTGAAGCCACAAATCCCCGGTAGTCTCGCACTGGAGCGACTGCAGGGTTCACATGGTCATGGTCTTAGATTGAGGTGTGCGGCGTTGTGGGGGGGTACCAGCCTTTCTGGGGGAACGTGGGTATCGCTCATCCCCGGAAGGGGCGTTGAAGACAGACCGCTGCGAACCGTTGTGGGGGTAGGCCTTCGGGCCAGGGTCTCCTCGGAGGCCCACCCCCCTCAGCAAGCAAGCAAGAAACAGGCCAAACAGGGAGTATGAAGTGGGAGGAACTGTGGGACAGACGCCTATTGCCTTCGTCTTCGGGAAGCAGTGAACTCTTAAGAGTAGGATCCGCCAAGTTTGATAAGATACGGTTGCTCAATGACTTTGGTGGTTCGAGGGTCACAGGTTGTCATCGAGTCATGCAGTGTGTTCCACCATACCAAGGTCCTGCAACGGGTGGGTAAACGATGGACGTTGTGAGGGCACAAAATTCTCCCGGTATGTGTGGGCCCGGCCGTTTGTAAGCCCAGAAAGAAGAAGGCGAGATTCAGAGTACATACGGGTCGCCGAGCCGTGATCCCTTCGGAATTCGGTTTCGGTTCGGTCAGCATGGAACCCGTCCAATTTGGTGCAGCAGCAAGGTGCAGGGGTGCCGAGATTGCCCCAGCATTGAGCCCTTGTTGGGTCCTGGGCCACCAAAGGTGGTACCATGTGCAGCCACGAGGTTCGTGATTCTAGCCCTGCTGCAGGCAGGTGTTTGGTAAGAAGGCAGAGTTTGCAGTAAGGACGGAGGTAGTGTCCATGTGCGAACGGGGTGAGAGGGTCACTCTGTAAGAGTGGGTCCTGGTAGTTGGTCAGCAATCAACTGCTTAAACTCGAGTGCGCTGCAGTGCAGCAGAGTGCCCGTCTAGGTGGGCGACTCCTAAACAGAGGCCAGGGCTTGAAGCTCTGTTCATGGCACCCGAGGTGGATTGTGTTTACGGAGTAGTTCGTAATCAGAAAGCTTGAGCGGAGTTGCTACGTGCATTGATCCGGCAGTCTAGCACCGTGGAGTCCCACCAAGAGGGCGCGCGAGCACAAGGCTGAGAGAACACGCCGAGAGACATCACTCGGAGAGGTCCATTTGGGGTTGCTATTCGTCCGATGTATTCAGTCTGCGCGGAGGAAGGGGGGTTGAGCCGCGTAAAAGAAGAAGTAATTAGAAGAAGACGAAGAAGACAGGGACAGGAAAAAGACAGAGCGAAAGAAAGAGCTAATTGTCTAGCAGACTAATTAAATTAGCAGGCTCCTCTGCATTTTCTGTTGGCCAGACATGTGGCATACAGAACCAAGGACGATAGATGATGATGGATCCGGCGATGTCAGCCGCAAGGAAATTAGGTGCGGCTGCCAAACTGCAAATGATTTCAGAGCAATCTTGAAATACATCTACAACTTCGAGTCTGCTATACTGGAGGGAGATGTTGGAAGATGCAACCCTTTCGGCATACTTCCGAGTTCTCGGTTTCGAAACGACAGATGCTGCCGCCCTGTTGCACTCAGTAGCAATGAATCCGAGTTTTCGTGTTTGCCAACGCTGCACATACATACATATACATGCCGCGCAATCAAGGACTTGCTGTTCAAATTGCTGGATGTGGACGACTCGGACAGTGTTAGTATGCAGGAGATTGCGACTGCGTCTGAGGGACAATCACCTTTGCCTGTGTCGAGATGTTTAGTTTTTTGGTCTTTGGCGTTTTGACAGGAGTTCCTTGATGGTTGTGGCCGGCTCAAAGGCCCGGCTCGCAACATGGACGTCCACGCCATCTTGGCGGTGTCTTGCTAGTGAAAGAGAAACCCGTCCGCAACATTGCTCACACGACGCTTGTTCGTCTGAGGAATGTCGGCGTATGAGGAAAGCGCCCCACAGCTTGAAAAGACACTGCTTGCCTAAGCTAGTCGGAATGTTTCTAGATTTTTCTGAGAAAGAACTCCATGTCTTTATTTTCCATACTCCAGCTTCTGGCTCATCATGTATGTCACCATGTACCAGCTTGAATGATTTGTTTGCTTCCATGCATCTGCGCGGCAAACGGCGCAGTACCACTCATGGGAAAGGCGCAGTTGCTGATGTTGCAGAACGACCATACTCATACTCGATGCTTGAAATGCTTTTTGCAGAGCAGTGTTCTCGGTTCTCAGAATGAGCTTTCGAACCGCTTTCACTTGCTCTGCCTTATCATGTTCCTGTGATTCCTCAGAGTTCCTTGTCAAACGTGTGCAGACGCGGCGTTTCCATTTCTTCTGCGCTTGAAGCGAGGCTGGGACAGAAAAGCCTCGGCACTGGTGGTGTGTGAGCAGCGGAGGGTAGCCTGCCAGAGCGTGTCAGTGTTCTGCTATATCATGCAGATGCACGCTAAATCGTTGAATCATTGCCGTTCGGCAACTCGTTTCAGAATCTTTGCGTAGTCCGTCCGTGCAGTCTGGCCAGAATGGTTGAGACAGCAGTCGCTCCGTGCTAGCTGGCCCAAAGCGGCAGCTCGAATAGCACATGCGCGCACCTTCAACGAGGCGGCTGACAAACAATTTGACCCACAGGGTGTTGCCAGTAATGATAAGACGGAAACGAAGATAAACTGTTGTAGCGAAGCATGGAAAGGCCTCATTCCATGGCAGGTCATCGCGTGCCGGCCATTCATGGCGGCGCATCACAATGGCATCATGGTTCTGGGTCGCAACAAGCATGCAGGAGCAATCGGCGACGCAGGCATGTGCTACAACTAATCGAGCCGCTAGCTTGTGCTTTGCCACTGTCACATGCAATCTCCTCCGGAAGGTTATCTGGGGCTTTGGACATTGAACTTGGACACGCCATATTGGCGTCCGGTGAAGGCTACAGGTGCGGTGCATGGCTGTGTGCATTGATGGGGAACTGCTGACTGGCCACGATCAGGTGCTCCGACTTGGGCTGGCAATTTTGCTGCGACTGTCGTGGACGCCGACAACTGCTCCTTGGAGGGCAGAGGACGGACGCTCGGAGGGACTGTTCAACATGGCCATCGATATGGGGCTCTGATGGAGCCAGGCAAGGCGTTGCTGGTCTTTGGCGGGGAAGATGCAGGAGATTCCAGTCAAGCAAGTCGTCGGCGGCCTAAGTGAAGCCGACAGCTTGAACTCCTGTTGGATCCTTCTGGATTTGGTTGTGCCAGCAGTTGCTCCTTGCATCTTCTTGCGAAATCCGCGAGGGATAGGCCTACCCCTTGCACAAGGAGGAGCTGGGCGGCACCTAACATCACCTGTTAGGTACGTGAGTGATTCGAGGAAATGCCACAAGCTGTGGAAAATGCAGACATGAGGACTGTGGCGCCTTGATCTTACGGCGCGGCCAAGCGAAATACTGCTGCGGACACTGAGGCCCGGCTTGCATCCCACCCTGTACTTCTTTCGCGAGCCCCTTCCGGTCAGGCGAGCTTGCCGAGCGAGGTCAGGAAGTCTGCCGGAGGAAGCTTTAGAGGCACGCTTCTCACTGTGCTCGGCGTGGGAGGGAGAATTGGGCTTGTCCCGGCTGAGGTCATCATCAGTTTCACCTTGGGCCAGCTGTTAGATGTCGCTGCTGCCAATGTCCCAATCGTGTGCCGAAAGAAAAAGATGCGGGTTCTGGAGAATAAGACGCCGCTCCCAGCAACTGCAGTCCTGCTGGCCGCAGATGGTGTCTACAGTTTCCGACATGCTGACATCCGTAATCGACAAGGGCATCACCACAGATCAAGCCAGGACCTGAGGTGTCTTTACTGTTACAGGCATGCTGAGGGATAGAGTTTGCCAGTCTGTTTGGTTACTGAAGGTCGTGGATTTCGTGGGGACCATGGTGAATCTGCCTCATACCAAGATCTTTTCTGAGTCGAGCTTGAGCCCAAGAGCTCGAGACTGCTTTCTTGAAGGTCTGTCGATCTCGGGTACATCGCAGCAGATGCATCTCTGGGGTCGACGGTGCTATGCTAAGACTGCTAAGATGTGGGAAAGATTGCGGCGCGTTTGTTTCAAATGAATTTCCTGCTGTCCGATCTGAGGATCTTGTGGATGTCACCTTGGGCCTGCTCACTTCCCAGATACTTTCTGGAAGCGTTGGATAGGCACTGTGGCCTCGAAAGACCCTGTTTGGAGGTTGTATGCTCTCGATGCCATTATCCCGGGCGTCGCTGCAGCCCTACGAAAGTACTGGCCATGTCACGGAAGCCGATGGGATGTCGATTCCAGGTCCCATCTTACGAAGAGGCCACTGCGAGACGCTTAAAAGGTGGCCGTGGCATGGGTGGCAAGGTGTGATGCTTAGCTCGACAGACCGGGTGTGGGTGTGAAAGGAAAGCTGAAGGCCAGACCCGGCCATGCGCCCATTTAGGTTCCCTGGCAATGGAGTCGAAGTCTGCAGACCTCAGAGACGCGAGACGGGGAGACAATGTACGGGCCTTTGCCGGGCTTTGGGCCTCGCTAAACGAAAAGGGACCAAGGCATGCCAAACACTGCCCCCCCATGCTCCAGGTATCGACAGTTTTTGCTGTCAACAGCAATGACCAAGCAGCTTACGGATGTGAGCAGCCCAGGATAGACCAGCAATGCCGTGACAGCTCGAAGGAAAGACCACCTTACGCCCCTTCAACTCAGCAGCTGGAATCGCTTGCTGGTTGCCTTCTTCAGGTTATCCACGCACAGATATATCCTGGTGAGGCGACGGGGTTCGGGAGACGCTCTGTGTCCCAATGCCCAGCCCGGGCCGGAGTCCGCAGCGTTTGTGGCAGGTTCCGATCAGCTTCGCACTGCCTGGCCAAGACATCTTCATGGGCCCGCTCCCAAGCTTCCAAGACCTCCCCTCCGCAGGAGTTTCTAACGGTCCCAATTTCGAAGGTAAAGACTTCAGTGATGCAGACGACGAGTCACAAAATTACGCACGGGTCACCACTCTGCCACCCAGCTGCATCTCAGAGTGGATCTGCCAGGCTTCGACAGCTCGACGGCAAATGTTGATGCTGGCGCAAGTCCGGCTTGTGTGCCATGAGCTGAGGTTCGACCTGCCAAGTCTCCAAGCCGCACTAATGACGTCTCTTTGAAGAAACCCCAACCTCTGCCACAGCACTGCGGGCACGTCGAGGCCTTGAGCGCTCAGGGCTGCCGAGCTCTTTCAACTACAGGTACGTGCAGTTCAAGCCAACACCTCATGGTCTCAATGGACTGGTTTTGTGAAGTGAGGGGACGGAGGATGTTTCATTCTTTGCAGTGCTGAGGAAGTTTCCATACGACTTCCTGGTCATGCCTGGCAACCGCAGCTTGTGAGCAGCCGAGAAAACCATTCCCCCTCTTCACTCGTCGCTCTGCTTGCACCCTTTGTCGTTCTGCACTGCTTTCCCCAAAGGGAAGCTCCTGCTCCGGCAAACGAAAGCAGACCCGAAGTGCAAAGTCTGGTGCCGGCATCCCAGCAAAAACAGCAACAAGATTGAGCTACGAGTACTACGCGCCGCGAGCTGCGGTTGGCAAGGCCGCCCCAGAATATCAGCCCAAGTGAGAGGCCACGGGCCACGCACAGCCTGATATCATGAGCCCATGCTCCGCAGATGACAAGCCTGGTAGGCTTTGGCACGCCATGTCTCTCATCATTACAGACGAGGCTCGGATCAGAGTTTCCTAGGGGCAAAGGAAAGTCAAAACCTCGAAGGCTGGAGAAAGCAACCTACTCGAAAGGCGCGGCAGATATTGATGTCCCATTCGACTCTTGCTTAGTCTACGAGCATGTGCCATGCAGGTCCATCGAGAATGTCTCATACTCTATGCTGCCAAAGATTGCCGCGTGACCTTTGCGCCTATCTTGGGATGTTCCCATCGAGCCCCAGAGCCGGATGCGCTGCGAACTGTACAGGTACGATACTTCCAGTTTCGGCAATGTGGAGCACAAAACTCAGCAAGTTTGGATGTAGATGCCTGAAGCTCTGCAGGTTCTGTGTCACTGTTGTAAACTTGGCAGGAATCCGTCCACGTGCTACTGGGTCGACCTGGGGAATGGCAACTTCAGCGAAGCTGCGTTTGATGCCCGGGGCTCCGTTTTTAGCGAGGCAGGTCGTCATGTCATGGTGCACGGCCACGGTCAGTGGCTCACCTTCAAGCGAAAGCCTACGGGAGGATTCCTGCATCACCATGCATATGGAAAACTTCATCGTTCTGGCGGACGACTTGGCCGCGCAGACCGGCCCTCTGGAAGTAGGTGTCGGAGGATGTTCTTGTTGCAAGAGACTGGCAATTGAGGCTAGATGTCGTCCAGCAACAGTCGCCGGGAGAGTTGCTGAGCAATGGACTCGGGCGCTGTGCCACACATGTGGCTGTCGTTGCAGCCACAGCAGGGATGTGGAATAGTGAAGCCGTTTATCTCCACTTGCCGTCCAGCAGAGCAACTTCTTGTCCAGCGGACGCGAGCCGACATGTAGGTGCTGGATAAACGTATTCTGCTTTAAAATGCACTTGAGACGGGGCATGGAGAGCTCATCTTGAGGTCAGTATGAAGATGACTTCACGACCACAGCGAATGTAGTCTCGGCGGTGGGGCTTGCATGTTTGAAGTGGCAGTTTCGTATCGTTCCAGAGACAGTTAATGCGAATGTTTCGCCCCTCTTTGGCGAGTGTTGGCAAAGTAGAACTCATGCCCCAGACTCTTGTCCTTGTGGCTTGTGCTGGATTCGCGCCGAGCTTGGAACAGTCGGAGTATGTCGATTCCATGTCTAGCAGCTAATCTTGCCAGCGTGTCACCGGTGAGGTCATGGTGTCCGTGTATGTGGACGAACATGACGCCTCCAACAAAGCTCAGGGCTTACTGTGATTGTGGGCAGCATGACACCTGCTGTCAGAATCTAGTGAAGGTGCTTAAATTCTTAGAGGCGGATGAGTTGCCAAAGCATGCAACTGCTGCCTATGCGGCACGAGCAGTCTTAAACCCCCGCCCTTTATCAAATTGAAATCAGCATCTTGCAGTCTTGCACGCTGACCTTTGAATCCAGAAGCCGCGCATTTCGACAATGTATCTTAAAGCCGCAAAGTCTGCAAGGAACCGCCCTGAGATGATCCCCGAAGGCCCTAGCCCTAGGCCCCATATTCCTAAACAGGGTTTAAGGCCTAGGGTTTAGGGTTTAGGGGCCGGAAAAGCGGAAAACTACCAGGCGTCCTTGCGTGCAAGCCTGCTGCAAAAAAGTTTAGGGCTTAGGGTTTAGAGAGAGGAAACGCTTTCCTAAAGCTCGAACTCTAGCCGGGCTTCCTTCGTCATTGGAGAAGTAGTCGTAGTTATCTCATTCCCGGGACTGGGCATTGGCCTGAAGAGTCGGGCGGCTTCGGCTTTCTCTGAAGGACAGCACCCGATGCTCGTAGCTCCTGTAATTCCTCTGCCAGTTGTCCAGACAGTCCCTGCCCAGAGGGCACCAAGAGGGCAATGATGACTTAAGCTCTGGTTGCAACATGGTGCACATCACGTTTTAATTAGTCAAATGTTATTGTATTACACTTTGCATTCCCGCTTTCTATTTTTTGTTCTCTTCACAGCCATCAACAGTCCTTGCTTTCTGTAGTTCATGCAGCCTGCAGTTCTACTGTGGCCCCTTTGGGAAGGGGCAGGCATGAGAAAGGAGTTCTCACCGAATAATTCTGCATCATGTTCACTCTTGCAATGTTAGTAGGGATTCGGACACCGTATTGTTCTTGTCCTTGTTATTGTTCTTGTTCCTCTTGTTGCCGATGCGGTGAAACCGTTGTTGTTCCTGTTCCTATTCCTGCATCTGGTTCATGTTCTCGTTGCTGCTGCAGCAGCTGCCGCTGCTGCGGACGCTTTTGCTTAACATCTGCTCCGGGGGTTGCATCGTTCAACTCGTTTGGTGGAGGTGACTCCGCTAGACAGCTTGAGAACGCAAGTTATTGCTTGAGCCCCAGTGCAGTCCCATGAACATGTCGACTGGCTGGCTTTTATTGTCCAGCGGATTATCGCAGACCCTGAGAGATGTGACCGGCAGGATCGGGAGGATCCGAAGGAGAAGGTTTTGGGAACCATCTTCCAAGCGATGAGGTGCCGCAGATGTGGAAGCCGTCTTTCATGGCGGAAACAACTTCCGTCTCGTCTTGAGAAGTGCTTCAGCAGGCGAAATCACTTGGTCATCGGCTGGAACTATTTTCACCTGAAACTCACACGGGTCCGCAGGGCCTGGTCCTTAAATGCCAAACGGAGTGAGCCAGCCACCTTTTGAGCGTTGTGAGGCGGGGATCTTCGTCGTGGCGGTTTTCGCGACAGAGGCCACGAAACAGAAGTTGTCGGATGTTACAGCGTTTTTTCAAGTATTTCGATAGACTTGACTCACTGAGCCCATCGCTGAAGACTGCGTAGTTGTTCGACCTGGGCTGAAGGCCTTTTCCTCTAGCAGCATCTGCAGGGCTTGATGTTGACCGTTCATCGCACGACAGCACGGTGCTTTCCAACTTTCAGTCGCATCGCATGTTACTTCATGTCTCGTGTGCAGTCAGGCGCTGGCAGTTCTCCAGCACTCTCTCTTGGCCTTCAAGGACTGCGTAGTCATAGTCACTGCGTAGTCTGTGCCGTGCAATCGCTGTCGACCTGTGCGGCTCTCGTAGGCAGAGTCCGCTTGGGGAGCCAGCGGACTCGTTGCTGCTGTGCTGGTTTTTCCATTGGTGTGGCTCTCGCAGCTCGCAGCTTCTGCAATCGCCTCCACGCTTCAAAGCCGCTTCTAGTCGTTGCATTTGGCTCCAACCCCGGCACTGCATCATGCAGGACATAGCTTAAATGAGTATTGACGATTCCGCATCATTTCTTCACTTGCATAGGTAGCAAGGGTACCAGATTTGGACTGCCAGCAACAGCTCTTGTTCGCCAACCAGACATGTCACGATGATGCGACGTCCACGTTTTTGTTGGCCATGTGCAGTGTAAGCCTTGTTGGCAATGACGCCTGGATTCTTTCGTGGCGTGCTCGCCGGCTTGTTGTTGGCGCAATGCCGCGGAGATCAAGAGCATGCAAGTTGGAGCTGCAATGTTGCAGATGACTCAGATGAGGATCGCTTGTCGACTTGGCAAATTATGAAGAAGGGAATGTGGGATCGTGTTCGTGCAGCCAGGATTGTATCAATGCATCCAAACTTGTTGATGCAATCGGCGATGGCTTTGGAATCGCCAAACACAGCCCACAAGTGCCCACTGGGAGTATTGGCGTGTCGTTTGTTTCTTTTGGACATAATTCCGGATTTCTTCTCCCGCCATGATGATGAAGATGTCGTTGCCCTTTGGATGAAAGTGCTGCTGCACGAGGTTCTAGACACACCCTGGCAAAGAATTGTGCAGTCTGGATGGCCGATCTTTGGACTTCTGGCCCGTCTTGCCAAGCAGGAGTTCTCGAACTTTACGAAGATCGTATCTGCAACTGATAACATTTGGCAGCAGATGCTGTGGGAACCAGTCCTGTCAGATTCTGATGTGGAGAAAGCAAGAACGATTCTCAAGTCCACAAGCAATTTGATGGAGACCTTTGTTCAAGATGGTTCGATCGCATTCTGGTCCAGGCTCTCCTCGTACACTGAAGAACACATTTTCCGTACTGCCCTCCAGCTCGGGCCAGTGCACGCAAAGGCCGAGCCAGTGATCTTGTATTTCTTGCACAACCTTCATGACGAGTTTGCTGGATTCTCTGGATCAATGGATTCATTCTTCCGGGGAATTTTGGCTTGGTTTCCCGGCCATACTCTTTCAGACATGAGGTGTTGGGATGTTGGCGCGGCACCATGGCCGGACGAGTCAAATCGCCGCGACCGCGATGTGTGGGAGATTTGCAGAAGCTCCGGTCTTCAGACGGAAGCTTTCGAACCATCCCAGATTGGCTTCGACCGGCTGCAAGCCACTGCATATGAACTGAACCCGCCGGTAAGGCTGCATCAGCTGGCCTTGTCCAACACAACAGGCCAAAGTGGCTTCAACCGCGGCGGGCAGGTTACGGGATCTCTCGGCGAGCGTGGCTGCAACTTGGCATCATACTGACTTGTCTCAGCTTCTTCTGTGCATCCTGCGTTCGGGATAGAGTTCTTCTGCACGTCAATTTGAGGGTGCAGGCAGGCGAGCGTTGCTCACAGTCACGGCCGCAACAGGTGGCTCAAGGCCAGATCCCAGCCCCGGGAACCTGCTTTCCCGCCCACTGAAGCCCGGCTCGATGGGAAACAAGACGTCCCAGCAGAGCATGGAGGGAGTCATTGCTGCTGGCGTTGCGCAGGGCCTTGCGAAGAGCGAAGCACGCTGGAAGCTCAGAGATGCTCAGGGTGTGTCGACATGTTTCGCATCTCATCAGCATTCCCATTCCAAGGTTAGTCAGTCATGCGAGGCTGTACGGTTGGTTGCCGACACAACTGAGGAGCATTCCCCTCCTTCATTCCGCAGCAAATCGGCCCGCCAACGAAGTATGCACCTTGCTCTGCATTCCTCGACCCTCGTTTGTTGGCACTCTCGCCGCCTCGCATCCGGTAAGGCCATGAACCACAGCCATTGGATGCACTTGATCCTCATCCTCCAGGACCTTGCTCTTTCGTGGAACATCTTGTGTTTCTTATGGTCCGTCGCTGCAGCTGTCCAGGCTGCTGCCTGCATCCTTCGAGGGGTTGTCTTGTTTGATCTCCTGGGCTGCTTCTGGATGGCATTGATCTGCGCGCTTGGCTGGTATGCCTGGTACCACGACCCTTGGCTCAAAGGTCCAGGTGCGAGTCCAGTTCGTCAGCATTCCCTGATCTGTGCTCTGCGGCCCTGAGGAGATGAACATAACTTACATTTCACTTTGGGGCCTAGCTTGTGCTCTGAACACCCTGTTGGATACACTGGGCTTCATCATCCCGGTAGCTACTGGCTTGATCAAGTTGGAGCTCCTGTCAGCCATCGTGCGCAACTTGCCTGGAAGGACCTACCAGTAGCAGGAAAGCGAGGCCCGCTGTAAGCAGACCTTCTCCCATGCCTTCATCCAAAAATCATGCTTCGAGGTATCGGCACGCCCTGCACAGAAGTTCTTGGAGCACTGTTTGCATGGCACTTGTACCGGGAGTACCAGTTTTCTCACGGCATGGAGCCGATCTCCAGTATCGACCCACTCGGCAGGACTGCCTCTTTTCCAATGTCGCCCAGTCTCTTCTCAGAGTCCGCACCAACAGGACGTTTGATGACTACGACCCGGAGTCGAACCCCCTCTTCAAAAACATAAGTGCAGCCGGTGGACAAGCGGAAAGATTCGCGCAACGCCAGTACCAGGACCGTGCCGACTGCAGAGCTGTGCTCACCCGAATTCCGAATTGTCCAATGCCGCTGTTGGTCAGGACCGATATGGTAGCGCCGACTCATTTGAGACATCGAACCCGTTTCAAACGGGCCCACCTCGCAAGGAAAATTCTGGATGCTGCTAGCCGAAGAGCTGCCGCTGGCAGTGGAAAGGAATGGATATTGGACGTGCATCGCAGCGATGTGTAAAAAAGAGGTGACCGCCAAAGACAAGAGCTCAGCATGCAGCCTCCGAGTTAGGTGTTGGATCAGGCGGGCAGCGCTCGGTTTGTCTGCGTTGCGTCAGCCTCAATCTAAGGCGGGCAGTGGGTGAGCACAGACGAGTGCCAGGACCCGGAAATTCATCAGAAGGTGCTGAATTCCGGTCCTTTTTATCACAAGGACCCAGGCACTTGGGAGCATGTACATGTCACGACGGCAGCTTGGACGCATGCAAACGAAAGCTGAGGGGTGGAGAGTTCAGAAGAAGAGTGGCGATTTTGGCTCAAGCCGAACACGGACGTCCACAGGAGCTCACCGAGGATCGGGAGAAAGCCTGTAGAACCCGTCTGGGCTATACGTCACCGTTCGAGCTGGATGACCAGCCCTCGAACCATGATTTGACGGCGCGAAAGTTCGTGAAACCGCACCGATGCCATCGAGATGGAAGGAAGTGCCACCAAGGCATTCTCGCAAGCGAGTCCTGAGAGAAGCGAGAGGAGGGGGGGCCCCCCGCGAAGTGGAGCCTGAGCGGCCTGAGCGGAGCGGGACTTCGAGCCCAACAACATGAGGACCTTGCGAGAAGTCGAGAGGCAACCCACCCCAAACCAACCGCAATACACTATAATACAATGCTGGTGTCGTGATTTGGGTTTGCCTGATAGAGCGGAGCATCAAAGAGCAGACGGTGGGGTAATGCCGCGAGAGCGGGTGTGTATGGTTGGGGAGTCGCCATGTCACAGCTGTGTCACAACAATTAGCGGATAGTGCAGGGCGGTTTTGGCGGGTTGATAAAGTCGGTTGACGGCTATGGCGGGTGCACACGGCATGGATTGCGGGCGGTGCGCGGATTCAGCCTTGAAAGAACTACTGACAGAGCGAGCGGCCAAAGGACGAGCAGTCGCTACGGGAAACCTACATAAGTCTTAAGGTGGACAAGCTGCTGGGAGATGCCACCCTGGATATTCTGAAGGCCAGTTCCCGTATTGTTCCAATTTTCAATGTCAGAGATGCTTCAGACAATGACTGCGCGAGGTTGATGTGGAGGGTCACGAGTGGCAGGTTCTGCAAGGTGCCAAGTTGGCACTTTCAACCGCGAGGCCAGAGTGCTTCGATATGTTCAGAGACAGCAACTTTAGAGGCGCATGGTCGGATTCTTTTAAACAGTAGCCGGCTGGCATGAAGGATTGGCCTTGTGATAGTGGAGTACGGTGACAAGTGGTCGGACGACACATCAAAGGACGACATTGCCGACGCGTGACATGTGTGGCATTGAAATGGGCTCCGAATGACTGGTGCTCCTTGTATGTATGCGCCTGCAACCAGACACTCACCGTTTCCAGGCGGCCCGGGAGTACATGTCAAAGCATCATGGTGCCACCGGGAATCACATAGTGCGTGACGGCAGTCCAGAACATTGAGATTCTAAAGTAGGGAGCCAAGGCACCGCAAGCCAGTGCTGCTGAGCCAACACTGCGCCTCGGCAGCATTTCAGCTTGAGTGCATTAGCTACAAGTACTTGGGCACCGCCAATGCGTCATGCGTCCGTAACTTTGCTTCTTTTGAAGTGTCTCTCTCTCACTCTCACTCTCTCTCTCTGACACTTCGAAGATGGACAGTTAGTTGTCTCACGCATGGGCGTACGGCTTGGTAGAATGGTTTGTCAAAGAGATAGAGCTACGATGTAATAAGATATATGACAAGTTTTGGGTTGCTGAGTCGTAGTATGAGCAGGACCCAGAAGCCCACAAGAAATCACAGCTGAGCCAAAAAGTACGGGGATCGGGATGGCTCAAGAAGACCCGAGCATCGGCTCGTGACCCAACCCTGCAGACGCAGGGATCTCGTGATGCGCTTCATGGAATCCATGGAATATGCCGCTTGTCTGCCTCTTGTTTCGTTGCAAAGCCGGCAGTAGCAATTGATGGCTCCGAAGAGCCAGAACGCTCCAGTAAGTGGCAGTCTATCCCCTGATAAGAGATATAGGAGATAGCAGGGGCTGCTTCATAATAATTTCAGCAGAGAAGCAGCGCTCGAGCAGTTCTTTTTGGAACAGAAGCATAAGGAAGCTCCTACAAAGAGCTTACAGAGGTCCGCAATCTCCCCGTAAGAAATAAGATGAAGACTTTTCTGTCGCTTGCTAAGGCATATTGTATCTAGAGCTCCTCAATTCGCCAGGCAAGGCAAGCCCCCACTTTGCTTGCGGACCGACGCATATTTGTGGTATAGATGTTTGAAGGAGCGCTGCACGCTTTCGCATTTATTCGCCTGTTGGGACAAGATTGCCTTTCGGCACCTGACGTGCGACAGCTTCGGCAGGCTCGATTTCGGAACCTTCACAAAAAATCGCGAATGCGGCTTTGGAACCTAGGTAGTTGAGCTTGCCGTTCTGCAGACGGCCTAGCTGTCGGACAGTTTTGCCCGGTAAACACGTTTAACGTTTGGTCCTTAGCTGCATCGATCGTGTTTGTTAGACTTCAGGAAGGCTACTTCGTCGGCTCAAAGACTGCCGTGCCTATCACTGGAGTTGCTAGACTTTGCATAGTTCCGTGCTACCATTTTTGGGTTTTGCAATCGCTGTTGGCCGATTCTTACGCCTGGGAGCAGGCATATTGGCACGCTGCTGCGAGCTCAGCTGTAGGTGGCCGCAGTGGTTTGGCCGTGTGTGCGCCGCTGCTGTATCCGAGTCTGTCGATCTGGGGCATTAGTTATGAGGAATTGAGCCACATGAGGTTTACGACATCTGTCTGGCACCTCATCGTATTTGTTCCGAGGCTGCAGGTCTACGAGAGTTCTTTCCATCAGATTCCCATGCTTCCGCGCGCCCAGCAGATGTGTTGTTCAGGCTATGCTGGTGTTGGCCAGATATGCTGGTTCGATGTAGCCTTCGTCCACCGAAGGCGGAAGCACTTCTCAGTAGCTCTTCCATCTGCTTTGGGTCGCCTGCATCGAGGCACTCCCTCGCAGCTGCTGTGAAGCAGTTTTCCGAGGACGCACGCCGTGCTCCAGAGAAAAGAAGTTGCACCCACATGCTGCAGCTTTGCTCAGCGGTACAGCACGGCTTGGAGTTGCTTGGTTGGAGAACGAAGCAGATCGAATGCCGAGGTCCAGTTCCTGGAGTTCTGCTTCGAATGGCTCCCACAGTCAAGGTTCGCGTTTAGGTCTCTCAAGCCTGATGCTGCTGTGCGATGCTAATGACCTGAACCATTCCGTTGCAAGCAGCCTTGGACGAGTCAGAAGTTTTGCAGGGTGCTTTCCAGACCACCTCCACGATCAGCACCAGCCAAGCCAATACCTCTCAAAGAGCAGGCGCTCTGCTTGACGTCAATCCTTGGCAGGGCCTACCGTTTATCTGAAGACGACGCCCTGCCAGGCGCAGCCAAAAGTGTGCAAGTTTCCCAAAAGGCGGGAACCTTGGAGGATTGGAGCAGTCCTGCCGCGGTGTAGGCTGCTTTGCGGGTTGCGACAGCATGTCCGAGAGTCAGATGCAGCAAGAATTGTTCAACAGGCCTGCAGTCGGCAAAGTTCGTCCGCCGCAGCCGAAAGCACTTCCACGGGTAGAGCAAAGCTTACAACTTCCGGCCAGAGCCCCAGTCTACAAATTTGAGCCTTGAGTAGATGCTCTTCTGTGAGTGATATTCGTGTCGTGGAGGTCATGCCACTGTTACAACTCAGCAAAGCTACCGGGCACGAGCCTCGAGTTCTGGGAGGGGCTGAACGCCTGAGACAGGAAGATTTCCTCAATGCTCATCCGTGTCTGCGTAGGATCTAGTTTAGTAACCACCATTCTTACACGCCCCTACCCCCCAGACTAATAAACTGTCAGAAAAGTATGAAGTATGAAGTTAATTAAATATGGTTAAGGTTCAACCATATGAAATGAAATGTGTTTAGCGATTGTGATTTCGGTGGGTTTGGGTGTCCACCGTATTCCCTACAGTTTTATTTTTATTTTCCTACTTTCTCTTCTCAGGACAGTGCATTTTGTCTGCTCAGGGCTTGATTGTCATGCAGCCCACCTCCACGTCTCCAGCGGCCTCCATGTCTTTATCCCGTTGGCGGCAGCTTCATCTTCTGATGCCCACGGATTCTCTTGTGCTTATGGTTTTCGTTTTATGCTGGCATGCCCTTTCTTGTGCTGCGTGTTTATGCTTTTGTGCTAGTCTGACTTTTGTTTTATGCTGCCCACTCTCCTTTTTATGCTCCATAGGCCAAGGGGCAGGGGGTGGGGGCATGGGCCCCATCTAGCTGTGCCCGACTTTGTTTCTGTTGATTTTAATGCGAACCTGCCTTTGTTTTATGCGGCCCTCCCCCGGGGCCCCAGGAATAATTAAGAAGCAGTTTCGCTATGTTCCGCTGATTCCCCCCATCATCCTCCTGAGGCACCCCTTTTGGTGGTGCAGCTCGTGGAACGATATCATCACGCCCGCGCTCCCGACTTGCCGCATCCATCGTGAGGGTTGTCACTTTCCGGCCCATCTGTTGGACGACAAAGGATCGAGCATGTGGGAGAACGAAACTGTTGTGCGTCCAAAATCCTTTTTACCAAGTGCCAAGTACTGGTGTGATTCAGACATTGCAGGCCGAAGTCACCAAACTCGCAGCCCCATTTCGCAACGGCACCGCCCGGGGACGCCGCAAACAGAAGGAGGTTGTCAATTCGAGAGCGATGCGCGGGGCATGTATCGGAATTTACAACGGATCACGCCGACACCAAGAGGGCTTTCAAATCGGGATAACTGACGGCGCGTCGCACTTGTATTGTTATTTACAATGGATCGCTTGGAATGCCGGCGAGCACGGAGCGGTGAAAACCTTCGCCGCGCGAACCAAATGTTCGAGCGGAGTTGGAATTTGCAATGGATCGCGATCGCACCAAGCAGCGAGAGGGTGGTCATTGTCAGCACGCGGACGGTGGTGTACTGCAATTTGATTGGATCGTGCTGGCCCTAAATGAAGAGCAACAACTCCCGCTAGCCAGGCCCAGTGCGTCAGGAAGGGGCTTAGAGTAAGCTAAAACAGTATCACCGAAAGGCAGGGAAACCGGAATATCGTCACGTTATGTCATCCCAAGTACCTCCGCTGAAAAAGCCTTCGCCACGGCTTTCGGAGAAAGAAAAACAGCGGGGAAAATGCGCATTGCAGACCCTGAGATGTGCATATTGACAACGTGTCGGGGAGGACGGTCGGCAGCCTCGCCAAAGCAATCACTTCCCTTGCAGCATAGGCAAAGAGCCAGCCCCCTTCTCGCCCCCACCCTAGCATAAAAAACACCAGGTCCAACATAAAAAGGAAATTGCCAGCACAAGAAACAGCAGCGGGTAATATGAGAAAAGCATCGCTGTTTTCCACATAAATTTCATATTTCCCACACCATTTACAAGTTTTTTGTATTGTTCCTGGAGTTCCCCAAATTTTCTGATTCCGCGCACTTGTGGGCATGCCCCTTCGCGGCTGGCAGAAATCAGGAATACAACAGATCTCTAGGAAAAAGATACATGTTCTTATGATTTTGGTGTTTCTCAGGTGTTTTCCACGGTGCCATAGTTGTCCACTTATGTTTGTAATTAGTTTTCATACTTTTCGAGGCAGTCCTTGAAGAGCCGGCCTCAACCACCAGCTCGACCTCCCGGACAGCTGCCCCGTCCTCCGCAGGAGAGCTGCGAGGCTAATGATTGGCAGCTGTGGGCGACATGATCTAAATCAGAAACTGCCTCAGGGCCACAGTTGTCGGTCAGGAGCCCCCGCCAGCCGGCCATCTGATTGCGAGGAGCAAAAATGCAGAGCCCGAGCCTGCCTTGACAGGCTCAGGCCGAGTGCACAAAAGAGACTCAATCGTCTCGCACTGCACTACATCGGCAGGCTTTTCGGAGCTTTCTCGGCAGCTACCCGGAACGTTCGGGACTTAAATCTGCGAGTGCACAAGGGTAATGTAAAGCCAGACATCAGCTGCGTTCCATCGCCCTTGAGGATGGCACGGCAGAGAGACACAGCAACTGATGTGCCATTCCAAGGATTGGGCCGTTTGGCTTAACCCTTCCGGAGTTACCACCCCTGCCACAGGGCAATCTCAAGGCGCGAGCTGCGTGGATGCTTTTGAGCTTGCAAGCTGTGTGGACTTCTGACTCGGACGGGGGAAGTTCGGGGGAAGATAAGACGCACAAGTACCGCGCGCGACGATACTTTCATAGCAGTCGCCCAGGGTGTTAAAGCCTGCGGTTCTGACCGTTGGAACAGGCAAATTTGGAGTACATGCGGGTGGCTCCATGGATAAAACCAAAAAGCCTGCAAAGGCTGTGGCATGCACAAGCTCCAACAGAACACGGGGCTTCCAGCAACCTTTGCAGGTCACCACCAATCGGTCGAATAGCCTGGATATAGACAAAGCAAAGATATCACGTAGGGTGGTACTGTACTGCCTGTCATTTGCAGGGAGTATGGGATGTTGTGTTGTTGCATGTCTTCCCGACGGCCTTGGTGCTAGTGTTGTTTCACCAAGTAAGTGACAGGCCCTCGCCGACGGGATGCCAATGCCTGCACCACCGCCGAAGGGCGCTGCAGGGCCAAGGCGAGGTTAATCTTCTCTTGCATGTGCTGGTTGCCATGCTTCGGACAGGCTGAGTTGTCTTGAATTTAATTCACGCACATCCTGCCATGCAGGCCTCCCAAGACGCCTCCACCGATGAACAAAATGTTTTTTGTGCGGCCCCAACTTGGAGCCAACCGTGTGGCAAGTTGTTACTCAGGATAGTCGGATAGGTCGTGGTAATCAGTAGTGACCTCCGCGTCAGCGCTTGAATTGCAAGGTGACTCCCAAAGGCGTGCAGATGGCAGTGCCACCAGTGCCAGCGTTGCCCAGTTCACAGCCGAGGCTTCTTGTCCCCTGCATGCCGCTGCATCTTTTGCTCTTGCCCTTGAACTGCTGGATTACTTGTTTCACGCCAAACTCTCAGTCTCCCACTGGATGAAAGATGATGTCTGCACGTGGCGAGGAGGGTGGATGTTTGAGCTGGATGCATGTGCATGGATGGACGGGTGGCAGGTTCGCCTGGTGATGAAACTGGTGGAGAGTGGAAAGCAACACAGAAAGGCTGCAGCAAAGATCTCCAGGACACACCCACCACTTCCAAAGCTGCCGCCAGTGAGGTGCGGCATTGCACCACTTGTCGCACGACTTTTTTGCATCAAGGTATTCTGATTCTGCAGGCACACAGCCCAGCTCAGTACGGTAAGGTCAGGCCTGGATCCGAGAAGCCATGGGGGCAGAAGCCATGCGGACAGATTGCGGCCTTGCTTTGCGCCTTGCGATTTCTTGTGGACCTTGAGGCGGAGACTCAGCACGACTCCAGCCTCCGCCTCCGCCGCCGCCAGTGCCCGTTTTGCATAAAGACCAGCGGCAGTACTCGCAGCCTTGGTCTTTCGGTTTCCATCTGAAATAAACCACTCAGGACTTGTTGTGAAAGCTCTACTGTTTGTATCTTGGATCCTGCGTGTCGCGGATATTTCAGAGAACATGTCGCGACATCCATTCCCCGGCCAAGTTCCTCGAAGCCCGCGTTTTCCGCGAGCGAGCTCGCGCGAGGTAAACTCAAATGTGCCACTCGTGCTGGCAGTTTCCAACTTTTGATCAAGACCTCCTTCGCCTAGACAAGGCTGACTTGCCACCTGCCATAAGGTGCCGCCGATTCGGTCATTGGCAAAAAGCGCAGGTGGTTGCCTGAGCGTGAGCTACTCCAAAGGATGCACCCTGGTGGCGAGGCATCTCGCTAGCAGATGCTTTCCCTGCAGCACCTCCAACGCCACAGGCCGGTCATGGAAGGAAGCGTGGGGAACCCCCGAGGTTCTTAAATGCTGTTGCGCAGGGTAATCCATCAGCACGAAGCGAGCTTATCAGCGGCATACTGCCCCGAACCTTAGTGCTGCCTTATGCTTGCGCCAGGATGTCTCATAATTTCTCAAAAGACAGCGCGAAGAGCATCATGCACAAGCGCATGCAAGCGCTGAGGCCTGGCACTGTTGGACTGGAAAGGGAGCTGCCCGAGGCGCCGCATGCCGCGCATGCGAACGAGCTGAAAGTCCGGATGGTGGAACTGGGTCCTGGCATGTACGGCAGGTCGTTCAGCCTACACCTCCTGAAGATGCGTTGTCCTGAGCACTTTCAGACTTTCAGTGCCGACGGATGAACGCGACCGGTTGAACGTCGTGGAGTGTTGCTTGGACGAGGTTGAAGTGCCTGGTAGATCAGCGAACTTGGACGGGACCCCAGTGATGTAAAGCAGCTTCCACTTCAAGCTGAGTCAAAGCATCGCATCAGCAGTATCAGGAGTAATTCATGCGTTTCTGTCTGCAGGTGCGGGATCCTGAACACACCATGCCGGCGTTTGCCTTACACAGCCTTACACGGTGGTGGATGCAGGGAGGTTGGGTCCCGCTATTTGGCACCAGCAGTTGGCCAAACCGAAAGCCGAATCACAGCGATGCGACACACAAGAGCACATCGCCAATTATGTTCAACCAGAGTTCGCATCGTGCATGTGTGGGCTGTGTATCTCCAGCGTAGCTCGGAACGCAACGGTGGGCATGACAGCGGCAACATGAGGCACCACGTGAGACCCAGAGGGAGGCCGTTTGCTTGCCAGCTCGTCGTAACTCTGCCTTTGAATTGCATGCCTGTGAGGCATCCTCCTCCCCTAGCCCAAGTCGACGGCGCCGACCTGTGATCGCGCACTTCGCTTAGAAGGGTATCGCAGTGGCCAGTGCTGAGCAAGTGCTGCTGTGCAGGGCGTATTCTAGTTTCACATTCTTGAGAAGGTACTTTCGGGTGTGTACACTAATTAAGCAAGCGAGGAAAAGTGCGCTGTGGCTAGCTCCAAGGTCTTCGCCCACAACAACTGGTGACACGGACCTGCCAGCGACCCAACCCCCAACCTGTCTGATGCTCTGTGTATGTTGTTTCGATTTCAGGCCTCACACACCGTCACCGATGCCAAAAACACAATCCCAGATGCCGCTAGAAACTCAGGACTGGACTTGTAACACTTTTAAATTTCTCAACCCATATTCTCAGACGGCTTTCTGCCCTTCTCAACAGCACGCAGCAGCTGAGAGCAGCAGTAATGAGCCTCATTTTCAAGCCATCCTGGCAGCAAGGCTGTCTCTCCCCGGCAGCATGAGGGCCCCACCGCAAGCTGATGCCCGGTGCTTGGCAGCTTCTGGTAGCGTGTTAGACATGCACGACCTGGCCCAGCAGACAGCCACGACATGAGAACACAACTCTGACCTGATCTCAGGCCTTGTCTGTGCCAAGGTTTCCAATGTGCTGGCCTCAAACAAGATGACCTTCCAACAGGATGGGGCAACTGATCTACCGTTTTCCGCCTCCACTCGAGGCCGATGAGCTTGTCACAGTCCATAAACTTGCCGCCAGCCACCGCCTCAAGCAAGCGGTTTTGTGATTATGTTCAGACTGCCCCTCGACCTCCGTGATTGAGGATTTGCTTTCCCAGGCTTTAGACACCTCTCCGCTTCGTTTTGCCGGAAGCTTGAGGCACCTAATGCTACCAATGACGCGAACAGCTCCATATTTCAAATACCTGCGCAGGTTGGATGTGCCAAAGCAGGCCCCGCTGGACGTACCTTCCTCCGTCCTTTTGCGAGTGCCTGGCTCAGTAGAAGAGCGGCTATGTACCAATCCTACTTTGGCCTGGCTTGAAAGCTCCGAAAAGCATGTGAAGCCCGAGCGAATCTTGGGCCTCTGGGATTTCATGCGGGTGCTCGGCGGTTTTTGGATGAATGCTTGATTTGATGAAACAAGATGTGGACAGCTGCTGGAAGCTCTATTCCTTGTCGCTGGAGAGCTGCAGCTGGCGTCCAAGGGATTCTTTGGGATTCTTGCAAAAAAGCAACTCACAGACGCAATCACGGGCGGCATTCTGCCGTCTGCCCCTGGCGGCAGCTTGTGGAAAGCTAAACCGAAGTCTACCCGCAGTCGGCCGCAAGCCTTTCTTGCACATGTCGGTCGAGTACGCATGAGATCTTAGCTCGTGCATTGTAGAATTGTGTGGTGGGCTACAGAGGCCGAGTAGAACAGACCTGGTCATGGGAAGGAACAACACGCTTCCCGCCACGCACACTCGCTTACGTTCAACCACGAGCGGCTAGCGGCAAGATGCTATCAGATAAGATGTGACATGCTGTGCCGGGCCGATAGTTCGACCCACTAGCTGGAACATGCTGGAAAAGCCTTGCTCCTCTTCCTCTTCGACTCCTGACAAAGTGAGCCCTGGGGCCTCCTCCGGAAGTACAATGTATTGTAATGTTAAGACCGGGTAGTAGTTACTCCGAAGCCTGCGTAGGGTCAAGACTTTGTGGCACTCCGCTACTCCGCAAGAGTCTGTATGTTACATATAATACTGCTTGTAGCTTTCGGCCAGAAGATGTAGACCAGACTTGCTGCAGATTCGAGAGATTCAGGTGCCGCAGGTGCAGAAGCATTCCAGCAGTGGAGAGCTCAGTCCAGAATGAGTTCTGTCGCAATCTGTCGTCTTGCCGGCTCGTGGAAGGTTCGTCGGTTCCTCCACCACCTCCACCTTTAGTTCCGCCACCCACTGGGCCAAAGCGGCATGGGCATCGTCCTGAACCCTTCCCGCTGCTTTATTTACACGGTTTGTTCAATCACTGTCCCTCTGCTCTCAGGGCTGACATGGCACCTATTCCGCCAGAGGCTGGTGAGCCCTTAGTGGCGGCGCTGTTCTGAGGGTACTGCCGCGCTGAACGTAGAACTTGCAGCCTGAATCATGAATCCCTGTGCGGGCTCCCCAAGGTGCGAAAACTGAACAAAGTTCGCCCAGGGCAAGTTTCGACCAGCTCGCCGGAAGCTTTCGCGCCTTTAATTGTTGAGAAGTTTCGACTGCTCCGACGGAAAGGCGAACACCAAAGCCGCCGCCAAACATGCCGGGCAAAGCCACATTGCCAACTCCTGAGTGTACCGTTTATAAGCTGAAGCAGAAGCAAAGTGGCCGTCACGCCAAACCTGGAGAAGACATGTCCGGCACGCCGCACCAGGTTGCCAACTCCGCCTGCAGGCCTTGGCCGGGACCCGCTCGCCCCCACCAGCCCTCGCAGCAACTGCGTGTATGCATAATGCTGCTCTGCAAATCTGCAGTTTTGCTTGTGGTTGCTTGGAGGCCCGCCGCCAGCGCATGCGATTGTTTTGGCAAAGGGAAGGCCACAGGACCCGACATTGCCCGCACGTGTTGCTTCGATGAGATTTGAGATGCGTACAGAACAGCCGCTGAAGGATTTTGCCAGTGGCAACGTCGACTTGCAGGCCGAGATTTATGGCCCCGCAGCCATGGCCATATGTTTACGGCTCTTCCCTAATTCGGACCGAAGGCAGTGGTCTCGAAGGCAAAGCCTCCTGCACCGCTGGCCGGATCTCCAGCCGTCACAGTTTTGCCATCCGGCAGAAGGGGGCCTGGCACGTTGCCTTTGCAGGTGCACCCTCCATCTGAGCCGCTGCCCTCCTTTGTCTACAGGGTGCCATCGCAGGCATGCAGCTCCGCGAACAGTTCGCCTGCACTTGTAGAAAATCTTTCGCCCGCACAGGCACTACAGTCGATTGCCGACGCGAGGGGCAAGTCACCCAAGGCCAGGGTGTTTCGGCTTCGGGAAATCTGGGACCCTCTGACTTGGAAGGCTTCTGCGTTGGAGCCGTTGCCACCGAAGGCCACCACTGATTCGCAGCATACGGTCGTTGGACAGTACAGCAGGACGAAGTGCAGATTGGATAAATGCGACCGACGCAGGCGCCGCCTGCGAGCGAAAGTTTGGCATTTGCTGCAACGGTCTCAGCCAGCACGGCCTCCGAACTATCACATGTTCGCTGCAGTCCGTTTATGTGCCATGTTGCAATTGCAACGAGCTGTTGGAGACTCTCAGGCCCAATAAAATCCGGCAAGATTGGCTTGCCAGAGGAGAGAGAAATATGAAGAAGGTTTCCCAAACATGCCAGAAACAGAAGCATGACTCTTTGAGGCTAACTTTCTGGTTCATATTTTACACCTGCACATGTTTTTTTGACTTGGTGCTAGATATCTCTTGAAGCCGGCCTTTGCGATTTTTTTGCTCGGAACTACTGTAGTTGGCCAAGGCCTTGCCGAACGTGGCAAAGGAGTATGTTCCACCTGAGCAAGGCCCAAAGCCAGTACCGGAGGTGGTGGTGAAGGCCTTCGACCTTTGGATTGGTTGCAAAGCTTGAGCACAAGTTCATGCGGATTTGTGATGATTTGTGGCCAGGTCAGCGTTTGGATTGTCTACGTGTTTGTGTCTGATGCTCGTGTTTTTTTGACCTTTGAACTTTGCTTGCTGAGCCCTGCTCTCCTGTACCGAGGTTCTGGATTTTCGTCCACAGCGTCGCTATCATTGCCTTGTACGGAGTGTACATGTCAAACAGACATGTGCCATCCTTGGCTGCAATCTGCACCAGCGTATGACTCTTTGAGCGTGGGCTTGTATGTTGCTGCTGGCTCCATTTGTGGCAGATCTGGGCAACGTATGCGGCCACGTTCTGCGGTTGTTTGCTTAATTTTGGGATCTTGGAGAGCAGGACGCCCAGAAGCTGTGATCTTGTCCAGATTTCATGCCTTGACCTGCGGATCACGCATTCGGACAGACCTTTATCTTTGCTCAGGCATGAAGTGCGTCATCCTGGGTTGCGTGGAGCTCGTAAAGCATGAGACGGTGCGCCACCACGGAAGCACGTGCAAAACTGCAGAGCGGCGTTTGAGACACCTTTCAAAGGAAGCTACACATGCGCAGGTCAAGAGACAGGCCGAGCTAGATGCAAGAAGAACTCGCATGGTGCGAGCCTTAGGCGTTTTGTTCTCCAAATCGGGTCTGCCCAAACAATTTTCTGAGGCACTTAAAGAGCAGCGTCAGCTAGAGCGACGTGCAAGAATGCAGGCAGTGTGATCAGGTATGCTTACCAGCTTTGTCAGTGCAGTAAGCCGCAATGCAACCCTGCCAGGAAATTCAGAAGATGCATGCGCCACCTCCCTTGATGGGCTGATGCCACAAGCCGGAGGACGCTTGCTAGAGCGTCTCTCTGTTCTGAATGCGAGGAGGTCTGGGTGTTGCAGCTCTGTTGTTTTCAGCTGGCTCAGGAACTTTTTGTTCCAGTGCAGACTGCAGCATGTTTAAGCACCCCTTATGCACTTGAAAGCTTATACTGCAGTAGCATTTATGCGCGAGTGCGAGTGATGTTCGAGAATGGTCGGCTGCTTTCTCTGGCAGATGCTGAAATGCGCGGCCTAAGACGTGGAAGACCCTTTGCTCCAGTTGCTGCAGCTCTCCGTGACAGCCCGGCTCGAATCCTGGGACGCAGCACCTCTCAAACCAAAGGATCCGCAGGGTCCTGCATCCGGGCGTGTTTCTGTGTTCAAGCGATCTCGTCGGCGCACAGGATCCTTCAGAGCAGCAAGCAAACAAAGAGTCGCATCTGCTCGGCATCGGCCGCCTGTCGTAGCTCGTGCAGGGACGAGCTCGAGAATCGCCTGTCGCAATTCCGGGAGACGTTGACTCAATCAAACCTGCAAGCTTACATCATTCCGACGGATGATGCGCACATGTCGGAAGTTCCACCTGACTGTTTTGCTCGAAGAAGATTTCTGACGGGCTTCTCAGGCTCTGCGGGAACTGCGCTTGTGACGCCAACGGAAGCCATGCTTTGGACAGACGGGAGATATTTCATACAAGCCAAAATGGAGCTCAGCAGCTCATGGAACCTGATGAAATCTGGGATGGAAGGTACCCCTGACTTGGGCGACTGGCTCTCTCAGAACCTGCGAAAAGGAGACGTGGTGGGGATTGATCCATCCGTGCATGCTGCTCTGCCGACTGTGGAGCTGCAGAGCAAGCTGCAGAAAGCCGGAATACATCTGCGGTGCGTCGAGGCGAACCTCGTGGATCAGATTTGGAAAAGCGGCAGAAGTTGGCCCAGCAGCCCAGTAAGATTGCACCCTCAGGCTTTAGCAGGCGCCTCTGTATCGGAGAAACTGAAGGGCGTCAGGGCAAAGATGGCCGAGCACGGGGCGGATGTAGTTCTCGTGACGGCATTGGATGAGGTAGCGCTGCTGGGTTTGCAAGCCGGTCGCCGTGTCCACTTTCGTGTTGGGTTTAGGGCTTAGGGTTAGCTTAGGGTTAAAGGGTCTTACTTACTAGATCTGGAATTCATCGCCCCATGTTGTGCTCAAGTTCAGGTATTTGTTCAACATTCGAGGAGGCGATGTTCGCCACACTCCGGCTGCCTAGTGGCATAAGGCCAAGTGCGGCACAGTACACGCAGCATCAGAGCCACACTTTTGATGCTAAGGTTGTTTTGGCGTTTGCCCTTGTTGACATGGAGGGGGCTTCTATATTCATTGATGACGGCAAGGTGACAACAGAGGCCGGGAGTCTTGGCCACCCATTCATGCAAGACTGTCTTCGTAGGCAGCAGGCCAACACGGAACGCCTTCCCCCAGGTTCGAAAGTATTTGCAAGACTTGCAAGTCGAAGTCTATCCCTATGCATCCTACAGCCGGGCTGTGACTGAAAGAGTGCAATCCGGGCAGCGAGACTTCTGGCCGATCTTGGGGGCTTTTCGCATAGGCTTTCCTCTCATGGGCTTGCACGTCGAAGCCATCCCCAAGATGAGGTGTGGATGGACACCAAGCGACCCTCGCCTTTGCAATGCATGCGGGTCAGACATGTAAACGTATGTCCAAATCCTGTCGAGCTGCTCAGGCTCCAACTATTCGCTGTTCTTGGCAAGTGGACAGGAAGGACCTGCAGCAGCCTGGCCCAGCTTATCTGGCAATCCTCCATCGCTTAGACTCTTTAGGCTCCAGACCGAACCGGTCATCCAGGTGACGAGGAGATCGCCTGTTGCTGAAATTCAAGCGCGACGCTCAGCATGAGGCAGTACCTTGGCGAAAGCCAGTCCAACTTTCCAACTCTGCTCTAACGCCTTGGTGAGGCATGCAAGAATCAAGCGGAGATTAAAGGCATGGTGGACGCCCATCGTCGTGACGGCGCTGCACTGTGTCGTGGCTTCGCGCAACTTGAAGCTATGGTGAAGCGTGGGGAAGTTGTGCCGCTTGGCTCAAAGTGCTGTTCCGCCGGGGATTAGCACTGTGGAAAGCTCCGGCTAAGAGCTCGTAGCCGAGGACGGAGATTGATGTTGACAGAGTTGTGACTGCTTCGCGTGCTGCAGCGCTGGGTGCGGGGCTCGGAAGACGAAGCCCCCGTCCCGCGACTCTCGGCTTGTCGAGGATACCTGGATAGATCCTTCGACACCATTGCCGGCTATGGGCCCAATGCTGCAATCATCCATTATGTGGCGCAGGCCGGGTGCGAAAGCATCTTCGAAGCATGCAGCAGAATGGTCTTGCTGAACCAGGCAGACTCTGCCGCAACTGTCGGCCGCAAGCTCAGATCTCCCTCGTTTTCAATTCGAGGTCTGCAACAGAAGCCAGAAGACCGATAACATCCGGTAGCTCAGGTACTGACTCCATGTTATTGCTGGACTCTGGTGCACAGTACCACGACGGTACGACGGATATAACTCGAACCTAGACTCAGGAGGGATGCTGCAGCACCCAGCACATCACAGCTGGTACGGGCTCAGGAACTTTGAAATTTGGCATTCCGACCAGCCGAGAACGCGAGCTGGTGGCATTTCGATCCGAAATTCGCTCCTGCAATGTTAACGAGAAGAGGATGTGTGACCAACTGTTGTAGAGGCACTCGAAGCAAAGTGCAAGTTCGCTCGTGCATGGCCGGCTTCAGGCGAGTTGTTCACCCGCGTTCTCAAAGCTCACATTGGTCAGGCACTTACAAAGACTACAAGCCTGCATGCTTTCAGAAACAGATCTTGGCAACTCGCGGGGGCTGCGGCTCTGTGTGTCGGTCGGCTGCAAGGCCTTGCAACGGCGACATTCCCTGCTGACGTTCCGTGCTTTGTACTGGATGCTTATGCGACTGCCCTGGATCGATCAGAAGCTGCACTCGTGCTAACACGCAAGCTGTCCAGCTGCCAAGGCCCGTCGCCCTTTGTGGGAGGCTTGTGTCAGCTTCGCTGCGACTTCGCACAGCATCGACATTTCACCACGGTCTGCAGGTGGCAGCTGATTACCGCCATGGCACCGGGCATGGGGTGGGAGCGGCACTAGCCGTGCACGAGATTCCTCCTTACATTGGCCAACGCTTTGAAGCTTGATTTTGCACAAGCATCTCTTCCCTGGAGTCCGGAACCACAGTGAGGATAACTTGCTGGTGCAGTGTGCAGTATAGGCCGAGGGGCACGCTACAGCAGCTGACCAGCAAATTGGAATTCCCCAAAGAGTCATTGTGCTGCCAAAATAGCTTTCCCGGAACAGCATCCTGCAAATTAGACTTCTCCACTAGCTGGCCGCAAGACAGGAATGGAACCCGCAAGTTAGACTTCCCCACTAGCATGCTGCAAGACATTGTTCTTTGTAAGTCAACAGCTGCCTGCTGCGGGGAGTAAGGATAGGGACCAAGCAAGTCAGAAGCGCTGCACGGCTTGCCGCTTGCCGAGACAAGGACAATGTACAAATGCGCCGCCGACAGACAACAACAGCAAATAGACAAAGCAGCCGCCCCGCCCCGAAAGCGCAGCAAAAGCAATCAAGGCAGGCAGCGAAGAACAAGGCACCACCTCCGTGAAACAAAACAACTGTTGCCTTCTGGGGGCTGTGGGGTCTTCGTCGGAAGTCTTAGCAGTAGCCACGCTTTGCTCGAGTGTGCACAAGACGGTGTCTCAGGAAAACCGTGACCCGTTGAAGGCAGGCGACTACACTTGACAGTTGCAGTTTGTGCAGAGCAACATGGAAAGCTGATGTTCTCTGGAAGCGCGGAAATGTGTGTGAGGCTGGAATGATTGCCGCTTGGTGTCGGCTGGCATTCGGGATTTGATGTGCGCAGGGAGTCGTGCAGAGCAACGGGTACGAGTCGAGTCAGGTCAGCAATGAGCCCGGGCTATATCTCGAGGGATGCCTTGGAATCCGAATCGAAAATCTTATGCTTGTGGTTCGAAAGGCCGGGCCAAGCCAGACTTCTCTCACTCTTCCACATTGACATGTTCTTGCTGCAGGCTGTTGGCAAAGATGGCAGAAGCTACTTGGGCCTCCGTCCGATTACCTTGGTGCCGATTCAGAAGCCCGTGACAGAAAGCAGGATTTTCGCTAGCCTTTCTTTCTTGTGTGAGCTGTTTCTGTTTCAGGTTGCTTGCCTCACGACAATTTCCAAAAGCACTAGCAGCAGTGGGAAAAGTGTTCCAATCTACCATTACAACTTCAACTACTGCGAGAGCTCCACAGGGTTTTGGGCCGAAGACAGTGTTTCTCTGGTACGACAGCACCTCCAGACGTGGCAGGGCCTTGGAGTAAAGTGGGCTTGAAAGGCCCTACAAACGGCAGAGCTCATACGAACCTCAGAAATTGCCGTGTTGTACATGCACGATAATTGCATGTGCACAGCGGCATCTGATGCGTGGAACTCATTTGCGTCGTGTCAAGGACAGGGCTGTGGATGACCACATTGGTTGCATTTCGTGCCGTTTTCAGCTGAGGAGAAGCCTCGTCGACGCATCTTTGCTCTCGAACGCAGAACTCTCCTACCTCAACGCGCTTTGCCCAACATGATAGCATCCGTCAGACTAGAGAATTCCGCTAAAGGGTTCACCTTCAGTCAAACAGTCAGGGACCTATACTTCATGCTTAAGGCATATCACGAACGAGTCGCAGACGAACTGTTCCCGATCCTGTCCGAGCTTGGCGATACAGAGGCTGTGTGAGTTGAAGAGTTGAAACATGCGATGGATTGCCGCTGGGCGAGCTGACCGCTATAACTTGTTGCATACTAGTTTCGACGAGAGGCATAATTGCCGGAGTGAGTGCAGGACAGGTAGCGGTGCTTGTGCCAGGAACCATTCCGAGAGGGAAAGAGGGAGAGGTGGTGCCATGCCGACGTGACTGGAGGGTATGTGCCACACGGCTACACGTACAGCCACTGAAGTTCAGGCCTTGCAGTTTCTTCGTCGCGAAACTGCAGAGATTCAGCGGCCAGATGATGCTTGCTGGGATGATATTCATGCAAGGGAAGCAGCTGGAGCTGCACTTGCAGACGATCAACGCTTGCAACCTAATTCTGGCGACGAAAAGCTCAGAGCTTATGAAATTGCCAGCTTGCCTTCCTGCCTCTATGCTGCTAATCGAAGGCTTGTCTGTGCCCACAAAGCCCATTTCTGTCTTGAAGGGGCTCCCAAAGTCGAAACTCAACTAATGTCCGCAGGACCATTCCCGCTTTCTAGCACGTGCGGCACCTTGGCTACAGAGCTGCTTCCCTTTTGACACAGCTTGCATTTGTCCCTTAGTCTACCGAAGCTGTGTCGCATCGTAGCGCAAGCAGGCAGCTGTAAATAGTGCCCGCAACAAGCCAGCATATGCCACGGCCACAGCTGGTAGCCGCTTCGCATGGCTTCGCTTCGTTGCAGACTGGAGTTGGCTCCTAAAACACTTTTGTCTCGATGCCAGGCGCCAGGCACCATGTGGTCATGTGGAGCCCTTCCCGGATCCATTCACTGAAGCCGCGGAGGCATGCAGCAAGCCATGCCAGTCGCGACCATCAGCCCCAATACACGTGGCGCTTGCAGGCAGTCTAGCCAATTTTCTTTGCAGAAGATACACATGTCCTATTGCTCGCACTATGTGGCGCTGTGCATTGGGTGTTCTGCAGCCAGTCTCACGCAAGGCACGCGCACCAGACGTCATGATAATTATTCAAGCCAGCAGTACATCCTCGGCAAACTTCTGCCAGAGCCTCCATAAGTGCGAAGTCTGATGCGTGGGTCGAACTGATTAGAAAGGTTCCGGCGAGCACTCTGAACATCTGCGATGATGTGCACTTCGGACACTTGATAGTGATTCTAGAGAGCGCAGAGGATGTGGATCCCTGGATAAGACGTCAATGTCATTCCGTTGCATCGGCTTCAGATGTTGCTGCACTTCCATCGCTGACCCGCTAAACTTCTGTTTCAATCCAGGTGAGTTTCACACAAGGTCTTTAACAGCAAGTGTGTCTAATGACGAACATCAACGTGGACCAAAGCTGTGGTTGCACACGCATTGCACTAGCACATTTGCTTGCTCTGGATGCTGGCTTTCTCTCTCTGTCACTCTGATGTAAGATTGCCACCGAATGTGCTTCTGCCTAAGCATGAGTGGCCCAAGCATGCGTGTCTAACGCGCACGGTGTCATGGCGGTCAAACTCTGGATGGTCGTTGCAGGGGCCGCGGAAGGGGGGCAGCTGACTGATGCAAGCACCATCCACTTCGGCACAGTTTTTCTACAGGTTGCTGGGAACAGTAACAGTAACAATCTTCTCACCTGTGCAAGGTCGGCACCGCCATCGTGATCCATGCTGGCAATATGATCACGGCTGGAAGCTGAGTGAGCGATCGCGCATAAGGGGAAACGTGGACTGGCAGATGGTGATATGTTGCAGGCAGAAAAGCATGCAGCCATGGAAGAGGCTGAAGGATTCCATGAAGATGTGACAGGAGTCACATTCCAGGCACGCAGCAACATGGAATTGTCCGACCAGTTGGGATCAGTCCTCTGCGTTATTTCTGCGAAGGAATGTAGGTTGGTAGTTCAGCGCGAACGACACCGGTTTGCCAAAAAACGTGGCCACTGCAGAGTGATCTTGGGGCTGATGTCGCTTCCACCAACCCGCCACGACCCAGAATCTGAAGATTCAAGCTGGATCTGCCAGCGGAAGCAGAGGAGAAAGGGGATGAAGAAGTTGGGGCAGGGTGGACTGGCAGGGACACTGCTGCGCGGGGACAGGGCCCGAAGTCACGGCAGGAAAGCGGCATTGGGGTTCTGTGCTGCTCGTTCCTCTATCGGCCGAGTAGAGCACGTTCCTTGCATGCGTGGTGCACGCGAGACTTTGTGTTCTGGATTGCCGACCTCCATTCAGCAAAAATGTCAAAGAGGATGTCCTGGTGGGCAGGGCGGGTTTTGCTTCACTTTCGCGAACAGGCCACAACATGCTTCGAACAGCTCGTCTCAAGTATTCGTTGGCAAGGATGAAGAAACTAAACAGTGGGAAGATCAACACGAATGGAGTGGCCCGAGAAAGCAGGATGCAGCATCGTCAAGGAGAGCTGCGCACTCCCCACTGGACACTCAATCTCGGCAGGTTTCACAAAGACGTGCAGGGTGCAGAGGGAGATTTGAGCCTGGCTCGAGATGAACTGTCATGCTTCCGGGACGTTGCCGAACGTTGCATGCAATCTTTGCGCATCTTTGTCATGTCGGCCTACAGTTGCAGTTCTTGCCGTGAGGTTTTCGTAGAAGTCGTTGTTGGATCCCTGCTAGCGCTGTGGGGCGGCATTGGGGATTTCAAGTTGGAACCTCAGTGAATTTCAATTTGTCGATATCGCTCGCTGTCGCAGAACACCTTACAAGGCCAATTCGAGCAAGCGATCCCAAGAAGCCACGATGGGAGCGAACTCCTTAAGCTGCGAAGCTGTGAGCATCCTGTGTTTCTCTGAGCTCCCAGTCGCACTCTCAGGTCCCTTCATGCGCGTCCAGACTTTCATAGCTACAGGACACGCGCCAAGTTCATGAGGCTGGACTTTGCACTTGCGGCCTTGTGCTCCCGGGTGCGATGCCATGTCAGGTCATTGCTGACAAACATCGACTCACCGCCGTGAGAAATCTTGAGACAGCCGGCATGGCGCAGAAAAGACATGAATCCTGGAGCAATGCTTCCTCACTGAAGGCAGAGTGAATACACGTAATATGAATGAAACACCTTTGGCAAGATGGTGCAAGATGTCTCTTCGCATTGGATTTTTGGATCCAGTCACGGCCTATGCAATTGGAGCTTCTTCGCGGGCTTTGGAGCCATGGGATGCTTTCGGCTGTGTGCCGTTCTGGTCCCTGTGATAGCGGTACTGGGCCCAATTGCCTTGACTCTTGGCTGGCCTTATCCATGGACAGGGCCTTGCCAAGAGGTCGATCGCACTTGCATGAACGTACTGCTTAGCCGGCCTGTCCCTCAGCTGCGGATTTACAGGAGCGCTGCCGTTGACGGCAAGTTCTGGGACCTGTTTACTACATGGGATGTGACTGACATTCCAGATCTATCGGGCAAAGTGGCAATCGTGACCGGGCCCACAGCAACTGAACTGATTCAGATGTCACCTCATGAACGGCGGGGCCAGACTCAGACCTAACGCAGCAAAACGCAAGAAAGGTCAATGGGATTGGCTTTGAGTCTGCAGTCGAGATGTCCAGGAAAGGGGCGCAGGCAGAGTCTAGAGTCTAGAGGGGGATATGATCTTTTCAAACTCTTGTGCTGGAAGACGCTCCTTGGTGGGGCTGGGCTCTGCAAAGCCCTGGCCCTTCTTGCATCTGGCAGCTCCGTTGCCAGGTCATTCTGGCAGGACGAAGTGAGAGCAAGGGCCAAGAGGCCTTGAAGGAGCTGCTTCGGAGGGTGCCCGATGCCAAGGCTTCAGAGAAGAGTGCATCACTTGACAAAGGTATCCTCTGTCGAACTTCTGTGCATGGAGTCATTCTAAAGTCGGAGGATGCATGGCTTCGTGTCAGGCCGACTTCATGAAGCTAGACCTGAGCAGCCTCAAGCAAGTGAAAGAATTTGCGATGAATTTCAAGGAGAAGCGCTTGCCTTTGCAGCTCGACGGCAGAAATCCATTATGGTCTTGCAGCCTTCTTGGGTTCTTCTTAGCATGTCCCGGCAGGGTTCGCAAGTAAGAACCGCGAGAACAGAAATCTCAGCATGCCGCATGGAGTGGTGAAGCTGAGTCCTCCTGCGAATAATCGGTTTCCGCACAGGACCAACCCGGCCGTTATACGACACCCAGCACCAAGACTATGTAGGCATTGGCTGTTCGACTTCTTCGCAGTCGGCAGGCTTGAAGATCTGGCCGGGCTTGCTTCGTTGTGCCCATAGGCCCATAAAGCCACGAGAACCTCCAAGCAGCTTGTCACATCGTTTCTCATTCAGATGTGGAGCGATAGCCATCAAGAGAAGACGAGAGAAAGTCCGGTAGCGGTGTAAATCTTGGCAGGTGCGTGGTTGTGCGTGCGTGTATCCACAGCGGCATGGAAGAACGACAATGCCAACGCAAGTCTGTAGCACTCTTGTGTCCAAAACTGAGCCTATGGACATGCAGCACGTGCAACACGCACACCCACGCACAGAGCCTTCTGTGAACATGAACACATCATAAAAAACTACTGGTTGCCCGTACCTGTTTTTGTCTGTATGTCAGCTCACGTTTCACCCCAACGACCTGGCAAGTTTGTTTGTGCATGAGATCAAGCGATGATGTCCATTTGCAAAAACAGGTTCGCAACTTCGGTTTTCAGTCGTGATATCCTTGATTCGGCAGTCATGGTGGCGAAGCTGACACATGCCTGAGGCACATCCTCATGAACAACGCTGGGATAATGGCGAATCCATTCTCACTGACGGTCGACAAGTTGGAGAGCCAGTTCGCCACAAATCATTTAGGGCACTTTCTGCTAACCAAACTATTGTTGCCAGAACTGGAGGTCATGCTCCCGCAATTATTGTTGCGTTTGCAGGCCATCGTAGGTGCGGTTTGCTCTCAGCTTTGCCGGTGGCAGGCATCCGCGCCATCGCGTGTCGTGACTGTCACCTCTGCCGCAGCCCACTTTCCAGAAATGATGGCCAAGTTGGAAATGCCACATGGAAGAATCAGCTAGAAGCCGATCGAACCGCACTTAGGCATAGGTGCATGGCGAGATGCTGGTTTTTTCAGGGGGACAGTATTCGGCCATTCGAGCCATTCCTTCACGATATAGGTGAAGAGGCAGCGCGGATGTTTGCTAGTTCTGCTGCCAACGAAGACAGCAGAATCATCAACAAACCCCAACCTGGAACAGCTTGTGATAGCCCACGTTGTCTTCGCTGTGTCCTGTTGTATACTGCCATCACGGTTCTAAAAGCGTTTCTCAAGAGGGAGGAGGTTGGTACGAATTTGGGCATCTGTGTGTGTGCATGTGGCTGGCTGGACGTGTAGGTGTCTGGAAGTCGGGCGTATGGCTGTTGATTGGGTAGGTTCGTCCTGACATGTCTGAGTCTTGAGGACATGCCGAAGCCATTGCACACATATCAGGCTTTTCGATGCTCCAAGCTGATGCAAGCGTGTGAGCAGGGAGCAACTTGCCCACCCAGTCGGTCCAGTAGGTCTACAGCAGGCACTAGCTGCATGGGTGACACGGCCGGGAAGCCAAGGATTGGCTTGCTTGATGCGGCTCCTGCGGCGGACTTTGACAAGCTGGGCCAGGACTACGAAGCCGCTGGCGAAGCAATGAGGGCATCCCATGCGGTGTAGTCGCTGCTGTGCATGGTTCTTTTCGTCAAAACTTTCCTGTTCATGCCTCACACAGATGAGGCTGACTATCACCCGTTCAAGGCATACGCTCGATCCAAGCTGGCAAACGTCCTTTTCACTCGTGCTCTGGCCCGCCGACTTTCAGACAAGAATGTTTTTGCAAACAGTTGCCATCCTGGCGGCATTATGACAAACCTTCCCAAGCACGCCGCTCGACCAGAACAGCTGATGCAAGTCCCTGAATTTTTGCGCGTTCGCATGGAACCTTGTGTAAGCTTACCATTTGCGAAGCCCAACATGGTGAGCTCATGCCGAGCGCTGTGCCGAAGGTTCAGAAGTCCACAGAGGACAGTATGGGCAAGGGCTGGACGCTCGTCGGACAGGTGCTTTTTGCACCAAGCCACGTAGCCGACCGATGGCTCGTGCGCTGCGTGTACCTTTCGCCGGGTGGGAACTTTGTCACTTCCTTTTGTGCGACTCTGACGTGAGAAGTCCTCCTATCTAGTCCGACTCCCAAGTCGCTCATCAGTCAGTGCAGTTCGAGTAAGTTAAGGAGATACTACATGGATGAACTGATGCAGCTGGTAATGTTGGCACCTCCGCGAGGCATCTTGGCAAAGCAGAACGCATCCGTGTCGCAAATGACGACTCCTTGCGTTGGAGTTGTCGATAGCATCACTAACACTTGTCGACAGGTGCCGTAACTCAGCTCTACTTGGCAAGCTCGCCGGACATTGAAGAGAAAGGTATTCGTGGACAGCAGGGGCCTCAGGTTCACAATTTGTCTCGAACCATTTCCAGTGTCTTTTGTCCCAGCTGCCGAGGTACTTCCGCAATCAGGCCATACATGCCAACCCTCCAAAATTTTCCACAGAGGAGCTTGAAGAGAAGCTGTGGAATATCTCTGAGAAATTAGTGGCCGAATATTTGTAACGGATTGTTGGCCCAGTTGTTTTGCACAGCCGGTCTCATGCAGGAGCCGATTCTGCTAATTAATGTGTTTTCCCGCAGGTTCCCCAGGCATACCTGGCTGCGTGCATGCGACCCCTTTTGCGCTAGAGCGAGAAATCGCCGGTCTACTGCCCATGCAAACCCGAGTGAATATACGACACGCAGCCTTCGCCCAAGCTAGCGTTGACAAATGAATAACATGCTCAGACATGTTCCATCATGCGCATTTTTTGGGGCAGATCTTGGGGCATTTGGGGCTCCAGTTGCGACCTCCATAAACTCTACTTCTGTTGTGTCACGGAGCGGTTGCTCAAACGGAGTTGCAGAACAGCAATGGGCACGGCCCCGAAACAAGAAGCGCATGAAGAGGCTTCGGGTGTAGTGATTTGCGGAATGCATGACCCCTTGGTGCAGTTCAATGCTTCAGTTTCTGGGCAAGGCCGAGAGTCGACGAAAGCGCTTGGTGACAAGGCAGGGAGTTTGCTTGCCGATCTTGTGCCTCTTGTGCCGAGCCGACACAAGCCTTGGGCCTTTTGAGGATATGTGTATCGTCATTCTTCAGTGCCACCCGGCCAGCGTGAGTTTTGAGGTTCCTGAGATGGAAGCTTGGTGCCGAGGTTTCTCAGCATTTCATCTTTGCACAGTCTGAGCCACGGCTTTTCCTCAGTCTGTGCAACCAGGAACTACCGACTCACTTGATGCGAGCCGCGTGAAAGCCTTCAGAGCCTCCGAGTTGGCAGGATGCAGCTGCAGCGACGCGGCTTCTTGGCAACACCTCTGGCATTGTGGGTTTGCTGAGCCTGGTTGCCTGTTCCTCAGGTCCGTAATGATATCGTGGCTGAATCTCTGCGGGGCAAAAGCTGCTACCAACCCGCTACTGAGGTCAACCAAGCTGGCGGCAAGCTTTCGGATCGAATAGGCGCTGCATTCAAGAGAGTATAAGAGAGTTCGGGTGACTCATGCTACAGGTGCTTTCGGCCGTGTAGAGTTGAAGGAAGAGCTTCAGAAAGATTTCTTGCAAAAAGGCTTGCATGCCACTTTAGCATGTGAACTGCTCGACACGAAGCACTACCGTTTGACTGAAACGGAGCCGAGAATGTCCTGCAAGCGCGGAAATATCACGAAAGTCGCGGATTCGTTTAACTTACGATCCAAACCCGAACGGCCCGCTCACTGGAACATGACATCAGATGCGTTAGTTATGCGGATGCAGCCGCTGTCGCCCAGAGGAATCGCAAGCAATGTGATGTTTCGTATTCGCGCGTCGAACTATTGGTCATGTGCGCTCGCGTTTTTGTGCCAGGGCGCAAACCTGGATTTCTGCTTGGACCGCTGAGATGCTTGGCAATGCTTCGGGCCGGGGGTGCGGGCGCCTG